GGGGTGACAGCGGCTGCCAGAAGGGCGGGCTAGGGGCCAGCAGGGCCACTCCCACACCTGTCACAACCTGCGCCAGGTCTCTGCTGACCGTACGCGTTGGCAGCGTTTAACTTTCATTAAAGCCTAGGAGCGGCGCGGGCAAGCAGCTCTGCGCTGTCTCACGCTCCCGCTCTGTAGCGAAGCGGTGCGAGAAGTTCGTCCCCTGCTGTCACGAAGGCCTGTGGGAATTAGCAGCCTCGCACGAAGCTGCTGTGGTGCCTCCTGCTCGCCCTGTGCACGCGGGGCCTCTCCCAGCGCCTCCCCGCACTGCCGCAACCCCCAGGCCGAGGGCACCTGCGTGCGCCAGGTAAGCACAAAGTCACTGCGGGCAGCTGTTTGGGCCAGACTAAACAAGCAACCTTTGCCCTGGCCCTAAATCCCCCGTGCTTAGGCAGGGTCGTCCGTGCTGTTTACTGAGTGCACGCAGGGCACTGACAGGGCACCCCAAACTGCCGCCTCTGGGCAGCCGCTGGCTCCTTGGGGGTGAAGCCACGCGCTCCATGCAGGAGAGTGCTTAAAAGCTGGGTTTGGACAGCGCTGCCTGAAGTAAGGAAGATATTTCGGGAGACAGGATGTTTTCCCTCTGAAAACAGCGATAAAGACGAGGCCCAGCACCAAGCTGTCTGCTGCCCCTCACAATGTTTCCATTTCCAGCACCAGGGCTGGCCTGGAGCTACGCCAATTCCAGCTGATTAGGGACATTTTTTCCTAAGTACGGCGCGTATAATAACCAGCTGGCAGCTTCCTGGCCAGTTGTCTCTATGACACAGCTTTCCTGGCCTTGCCGATGCTGCCTAACTGTTTCCTCACTTAAAATGACATCATGCAAAAATAAAGTGGTATCAAGACATCGAGCCCTGGCCGTGTGCTATAAGTGATGAGGCTGTTTGCAGGTGGGGGAAGTCCAAAGAGGCCCAGCTCATAAATAGGAAGAGCTAAAAGACATAAAAAGTTGCCTGCAACCTCCTGCCTTCTGCTTTTGTGGGGCGTTTGTTCAGATTTGGGGTTTTTGTAAAGATAAACCTCCCAGATAAGGCGTCTGGGGAGGCTTCTCGGGAATGGCCACGGCTCATCCGTAGTCACGCACCGAGTCCCGCGCTGGTTTCAGCTCCTGTTAGCTGCGAGCCCGGCTGGCAGATACCGGGTCACTGTCTGCAAGATGCAGATGTCACCTCTGAGGTCCTGCACCAGCAACCCGTGGAAACTGCCAGCTCAGAAGCACCACTTGTCACAACATAGATAGGATTTGTCACAATATGGATAGGGGAGACTTTCCAGAGGCCGTTCCCGGTGACGGGCTGTGTGTTGCTCGCCTCGCCTCCCGGGGATTGCTGGCATGCCGGATTGGGCTGCGATTCCACGAACTCCTTGTTAGCCCCTGGAGCTGCGTGGGAAGCTGCTGGCGCCGCTCGTGACTCGTTTCCGAGCCTCCGCTCCCGAGCAGCCGGAGCGGGCCAGCTCTGGAGAGGCTC